GCTACGGGGGAAGTTCATAGCACTAAGTGCTCACATGAAGAAACGGAAAACAGTTATACCAGAGAATTAACATCACAGCTAAAAGCTCTAGAACACAAAGAAGTAAACTTCCCCAGGAGGAGTAGACGCCAGGAAATAATCAAATTGAGGGCTGAAATCAACAAAGTAGAAACCAGGAAAACAATACAAAGAATCAATGCAACGAAGAGTTGGTTCTTTGAGAAAATCAACAAGATAGACAAACCTTTGTCCAAACTTACCAAACAGCAGAGAGTGAACACGCAAATTAACAAAATCAGAAATGAAAAGGGGGACATAACAACAGACTCTGAGGAAATCCAGAGAATCATTAGGTCATACTTTGAAAACCTGTACTCCACAAAATTCGAAAATTTAAAGGAAATGGATGACTTCCTGGACAGCTATCATTTGCCAAAACTAAATCAAGAACAGATAAGCAATTTAAATAGACCTATAACCCCTATGGAAATAGAAGCTGTCATCAAAAGTCTCCCAACCAAAAAAGTCCAGGTCCAGATGGCCTCAGTGCAGAATTCTACCACAAATTCAAAGAACAGCTTATACCAATTCTTCTCAAAGTGTTCCACACAATAGAAGCAGAAGGGTCTTTGCCAAACTCTTTCTGTGAGGCTTCAATAACCTTGATCCCCAAGCCACACAAAGATACAACCAAGAAAGAGAACTTCAGACCAATATCCCTCATGAACATTGATGCAAAAATACTCAATAAAATACTGGCAAATCGGATCCAAGAACACATCAAAACAATCATTCACCACGATCAAGTAGGTTTCATCCCAGGGATGCAGGGATGGTTCAACATACGAAAATCCATCAACGTAATCCACCATATAAACAAGCTGAAAAACAAAAATCACATGATCATCTCACTAGATGCTGAACAAGCCTTTGACAAAATCCAACACCCCTTCATGATAAAGGTCTTGGAGAGATCTGGGATAACAGGGACATACTTAAACATAATAAAAGCTATATACAGTAAACCAACAGCCAACATCAAACTAAATGGACAGAAACTCAATGCAATTCCTCTAAAATCAGGAACAAAACAAGGCTGTCCACTCTCTCCATACCTTTTCAACATGGTACTTGAAGTTCTAGCTATTGCCATACGACAACAAAGGGGGATCAAGGGGATACAAAATTGGGAAGGAAGAAGTCAAACTTTCACTGTTTGCAGACGATATGATAGTTTACATCAATGACCCAAAGAACTCTACCAGGGAACTCTTACAGCTGATTAACACCTTCAGCAAAGTGGCAGGTTACAAGATCAACTCAAGAAAGTCAGTAGCCCTACTATATACAGATGATAAAAGGGCTGAAAGAGAAATCAGAGAAACATCACCCTTTACAATTGCCACAAACAACATAAAATACCTTGGGGTAATGCTAACCAAACAAGTGAAAGACCTGTATCGTAAGAACTTTGACTCTTTAAAGAAAGAAATTAAAGAAGCCCTCAGAAAATGGAAAGATCTCCCATGCTCTTGGATAGGTAGGATCAATGTAGTAAAAATGGCAATCCTGTCAAAAGCAATCTACGGATTCAATGCTATCCCCATTAAAATCCCAGCACACTTCTTCACAGACCTTGAAAGAACAATAATCAATTTTGTATGGAAAAACAAAAGACCCAGGATAGCCAAAACAACCCTGTTCAACAAGGCAACGTCCGGAGGCATCACTATCCCTGACCTCAAGCTCTATTATAGAGCTATAGTCCTGAAAACAGCTTGGTATTGGCACAAAAATAGACAGGTAGACCAATGGAATCGAATTGAAAATCCGGGTATTAACCCACACACGTACGAACATCTGATCTTTGACAAAGAAGCTAAAAATATACAATGGAATAAAGAAAGCATCTTCAACAAATGGTGCTGGCATAATTGGAGACTGGCATGTAGAAGAATGCAGATCGATCCATGTCTATCGCCATGCACAAAACTTAAGTCCAAATGGATCAAAGACCTCAACATAAATCCAGCCACACTGAACCTCTTAGAAGAGAAAGTGGGTGGTACCCTTGAACGAATTGGTACAGGAGACAGCTTCCTGAACATAACACCAGTAGCACAGACAGTGAGATCAACAATTAATAAATGGGACCTACTGAAACTGAGAAGCTTCTGTAAGGCAAAGGACACAGTCAGCAAGACAAAAAGGCAGCCCACAGAATGGGAAAAAATATTCACTAATCCCACATCTGACAGAGGGTTGATCTCCAAAATTTACAAAGAACTCAAGAAGCAAGTCTCCAAAACAGCAAAGGACCCAATTAAGAAGTGGGCTGCAGAACTAAATAGAGAGTTTTCAATAGAGGAGTCTAAAATGGCTGAGAGGCACTTGAGAAAGTGCTCAACATCCTTAGCCATCCGGGAAATGCAAATCAAAGCTACTCTGAGATACCATCTCACTCCTGTCAGAATGGCTAAAATCAAAAACACCAATGACAATTTATGCTGGAGAGGATGCGGTGAAAGGGGGACACTCCTCCATTGCTGGTGGGAGTGCCAACTGGTTGAGCCACTTTGGAAAGCAGTATGGAGATTCCTCAGAAAAATTGGAATAAACCTACCACAAGACCCAGCAACTGCACTCTTAGGCATATATCCAAAAGATGCCCATTCATATAACAAAGATGTCTGTTCCACTATGTTCATAGCAGCTTTATTTGTAATAGCCAGAACTTGGAAGCAACCTAGATGTCCCTCACCCGAAGAGTGGATAGAGAAAATGTGGCACATCTACACAATGGAGTACTATTCAGCAGAAAAAAATAATGGAATCATGAGATTCGCAGGCAAATGGATGACACTAGAAGAAACCATCCTGAGTGAGGTAACCCAGTCACAAAAAGAGAAACATGGCATGTACTCTCTCATATATGGATTTTAGTCATAGATCTGGGGAGTGCCAGCCTACAATCCTATGGCCAGAGAGTCTGGGAAACAGTAACTTCATTTACTGGCTGGTTAAGTACTGAGCTGAACTCAAGAAAGCCAGTATCAGAGAGGGAGGACTGATGATCAAAGGGATTAAGACTGGGCTGGTTGAACCCCCAGAAACAGCTCACCAGACAAAGGTTAACTCTTGAATCCCAGGCATCAGCCTGGGAATCCAGCATGGGACTGATCAAGACCGCCTGAATCTCGGTGTCAGTGAGGAGGCCTAGGGAATCTATTGAGCCTTGGGCAGCAGATCAGTACCCATCCCAAGTATACACACGGTCTCTGGACTCCCATAGAACAATGTGAGGTGCACTCTCACCCTGAACTCTTGGGGAAGGGTCTAGGCCCTGCCCTATATGAAATGACAGACTATGGACACCCCCATGGAGGGCCTCACCCTCCCTGGGGGAATGAGGGGATAACGGGGGGGGGATGGGGGGAGGGCACGGGAGGAGGGGAGGGAAAGGGAGAGGGACCTCGTACTGACTTGTGAAGCAACCTTGTTTCTTATCTAAATTTAAAATGGAAAATAAAAAAAATATTAATAAAAAGAAAAAGAAAAACAAACAAACAAACAAAAAAAACCAAAACTCATACTCCTCCTAAGGGTCATGTGTTTATATGAGAAAAATATGTGGGAAGAGAAAAAAGAGGCCATTAAAATGTATTAGTAATAACCAAAAAAAAAAAAGTTGTCCAATGTAAAGAGGAGTGGCAGCAGTCTAGATACGGAGCTATTTGAAGAAAAATTTGAAAACCTATGGAGAAGATATATTTATTTTACTACTGTCAATCAAGATTAAATACAATATTTTCTTAAAGGAATAATATAAAAGGTTTTTGGGTGATTATAGCAGAAGAATAAATGAAATAAATGGTGGTAATTAAGGAATGAAAGAGAGGAGTGTGTATGACCTATCTCGTAATTAACGTTTCCTCATTGGATTTATTTTCTGCTTTGAGATAGGCTCTTTAGTAAGATCCTCAGATTGGCCCTGAACTTGTTCTTTATCCCAGACAGGCCTTAGACTTTCAATCCTTCTACCTCAGCCTCTTCAGTATGTTGGATTGCAGAACCTGACTGCCAATGACTATTTGCTACTTAAAAGTCTGTAACTGAAGAAAACAGAGTGGTGATCCTGCCTTAATCAAAGTTAATCCACTAGATAATTTCTTTGGTACCATGACTACAGATGTTACACAGTGAAAACCATCAATAAACTTTTAATATGTAATGAACAGTAGACTGATACACCTACTGTGGAAGGGTCTACATTATCCCAGTGAATGAGAGATCCCAGTCTGTAGATGGTTCCCCAAGGTAACAAACTGCCAGATTATAGTACAATGAACTGAAATTTATTCCTAACATCAGAGAAGTATATGCAGGGTAAATCTGTACAGCTGTTTTTTTTTTAAGTTTCTGAAAAGAGTTTAGACTTATTGAAAGTTGACTTACACACTGATAGAAGCTTTATCCATACATGTAAATCATTATTTCATCTTTTACCATGAATTCATCCTTTGTAATCAATTAATTTGCACATAAAGTTCCTATTCCACGCAGTCCTTATCAATTTGTTTTAAATATTCCAGACAGGTATGAAGAAATGTCTACACAAGTGAGGTTTTCCAGATTGATTCTGTTTACACACCTCTTTTGATTTTCCTTAACTATCCCTTTTATTTTCCTTAACTCCCAGGTAACAATATTTAAAAACTATGTCACAGCATAATTTGTGCCCCAGTGCTGCTGCTGTTCACTCATGTTTCCTGGAACAGAATATCTAGAAGAGGGTGTGGAAGGTTGAACTTCACTCATATCTGAGGGTAAAGGACTGCTAACAGGAAGCAGGTAATATTTGTGAAAATTCTCTCTGTTTGCCAGGAAGAACCTCCTGATCTTTCTGGGAACCTGCTCTAGTCTGTACCAAGCACTACCCACAATCCTAACCTGCATAAGCATTCCAGTCATTCCCTTTGATGCCCCTCCCACAAATCCCATTATAAAAGCACAGCCATCTCTGCCCTGACAAACCATCCCAAGATCTCTGCAAGACTGGTAAGTGGGAGCTGAAAGATGGTGAGAGATTTCCAGGGGTTCACCTCTCACTAGGAGAAGGTGTTCCAGGGTTCTTGCTCTCACATGACACAGAGCTTTGTGACTCAGTCAAGGCTACCAATGGAGCTCTGAGAGGAAGAAGGAAACATGGGTTTCCAGACCGCAGCAGGGAAGACAGGACAAAATCAGTGTATCCCTACAGAACTAGTAAAAGAATGAGATTGATGGTCCTTTCTGCATGCCCTCTCTAACCATGCTACCCGGAGTGACTCTGATTGTTTCTCCCTAACAGGCAAGATGATGTCTGGCCTAGCACTCACCAACATGTCCTGGATGCTGCTCTCCTGCCTGATGCTCTTAACTCAGGTGCAAGGTAAGACTTCTCTGCCTGTAGTACTGAGTTCATGTGAGTGTTTAGAGTCAGGGAGCAGAGGAAAGTCTCATGAAGAATAATGAGGACTAGCTGTACATGAACTCTTCCGCTACAGCTCCACCACCCTGCATTCTTCCAGGACACTAGTTGTGGAAAGTGCCATGGTGGTTTGCCACCAGTGGAATGACGGGATTGAACATTTTGTCAGGATGCCATAATTTATGCTGGTAGGACAAAGGGGGAAAATGATTGTTAACAACGAAGTCTATGGTTGAAGAATGATGGACAACTGAGGTTAAGCCTATCAGACCAGAGTTGGTGAAGTCATGAACTAATATATAATATAATATATAGGAAGGAAGAGAAAAATGAGGCTACACCATTTTCTAGGTATGTTCATTATATGATAAAAAGTCTCAAATACTATAAGAAGACTTGATATTGATTTCCTTCCAAAAAATAGTGTACTAAAATAATGCCTATTTTGAACAACTCATCTAAATCCCACTTTTCATTTCACCCCATTGTTCTATTCATCTTATTCCACCCAGGTGAAGACACCCTGAAGGAAGTACACTCAGCACGTATTAGTTGTCCCAAAGGCTCCATGGCTTATGGCTCCTATTGCTATGCCTTGTTTCGGATACCACAGACCTGGTTTGATGCAGAAGTGAGTACTGAGAGGTAGAAAGATACATGTGGGTCACAGAGGAATGCTGGGTTCCATGCTCCCTAGTTCATTGTGACTGAGACGAATACCTGACATCAAAGTAGCCTGTCCCCTCGCCTACCTCTGCCTGGCCATTAACCACTGCAGTATAAATCTTCTTTGTATTCTGTTCCTCACACAGCTGGCCTGTCAGAAGAGGCCCTCAGGACACCTTGTGTCTGTGCTCAGCGGAGCTGAGGCTTCATTCCTGTCCTCCATGGTGAAGAGCACAGGGAACAGCTACCAGTACATCTGGATTGGGCTTCATGATCCCACCCTGGTATGAATCCCTCTTCTCTGTTTCCTCTCACTTGCTATTATCACATAGGGTACACATGCTGAGCCTACCCAGAAAGAACCCTTAAGGACACAGAGTTCAGACACAGGGTGACACTGGGACAAAGGAAACTGTCAGGATCAGTAGTAGAGTTGAGCTCTGTGAGGATTCCTAGACTTCAGGTGATGTACATGTGCCTGTTCTTGACTTTTTTGAAGTTCTCACACAAGGAAATGGAAGAATGCACTATCAGTTTCAGAGAGCTATCACACACACAGTATTGTCAAGAAATACAGAATAAAGAGACAATTCATATTTTATCTTTATGGAATAAATATTCCACTTCCATTTGAGAAAATTGTTAATTTGCCACCATCTATATTTCAAATAAATTTCAGTGGGTTCAAATTTCATCAGGAGTTTCTAGGTTTACAAACAGAAGTGTAGACAACAATAATTTCTATTGCTATGTTCTTGAAAATTGCGTATGATCACCTGAGTTCTGGGAGGTTGGGAGTTTTCACTAAAGGTTTCCCACAAGCAGAGATTTGAGGACCCCATCTATAATCTGGTTCCTTCCTCATCAGGGTGAAGAACCCAATGGAGCTGGATGGGAATGGAGTAACAGTGATGTGATGAACTACTTTAACTGGGAGAGGAAGCCATTTGCTGCCCTAGACCGTGGTTTCTGTGGTAGCTTGTCAAGAGCTTCAGGTATGAGAGAGATGAGCCACCTCACCTAGAAGCATACCCATCTTCTCACATCTTGGGCTACCTCTGAGCTAGGAAGTGAAATTCAGTCTTGTTCTCTCAGTTATCTTCTTTATTGGATTCTTGTATATTTACTTCCTCTAGGTTGTACTTAGACAAAGTGAGCATGAGTGAGTGACTTTTAAGATGCAGCCACAGATTGAGGCATTTCTTCATTTTGTTACCAAGATCCACAGTCCCCAGTTACTTAACCCCTTTTGTATTTCTAGGATTTCTGAAATGGAGAGACAATACCTGTGATGTGAAGTTGCCCTACGTCTGCAAATTCAGTGGTTAGGCTTATCCAAAATCAAACAGCCAGAATTTGTCCTAAAGCTCATCATAGACGTGGGACCAAATGGGAAGACTCACCCAAGAAGAGCATGTCCCATCCACAGCCCACATCGGACACCTCACTGGTTCTTTCCAGATCTTGCCTCAGTCATTTCTGTACAGGTTCTTGCCTCAGGTCTGAGATAGCAATAAAAAAAAACTTTAGTCACACTTTGAGTTTTTGTGTTCCATTAAAAATATTTATTATCACTGTCCATGTTATGCATGCATGTATGGGTGTGTGAATATTACAGCATTCCTGTGTAGATTAGAGGGTAACTTTGGGGGATCATTCTTACCTTCTGTATGTTAAGACAGGGTTTCTCTTTTTTTAACCACACAGTAAACTCACAAGTGTCAGGAGAGTTGTCCGCACTCCTCTGCCTCCCATCTCTCCATAGTAGTAGTGAGCTTACAAATGGCAGCCACTGTGTTCAACCGTTTTAAGTGATTCCCCTGAGAATGAGGACAAACCAACGCACATCATCAGGCTCGAGAAATAAAACTTCAGCCTACCAAGCCATCTTGCTGCTCCTGTGAACCATTTCTAATTGAAAATATTTTGCATGTAATACATAATATATTCTGATCTCCTTACCCAAATCCTCCCAGATCATTCCCACTTTTCTACACACCAAATTCCATGACCTTTTTATGTCTATCACTTTATAAAACAAATTAATACACCAAAACCAAGAAACAGACACAAACTCTGCAAAGACATGAAATTGGAAACCAAAATATTCAAGCAAATGACAAATAAGAGGAAAGTAGTCAGAATGGCAGAGGAGACATTGAGCAATTCTTTTTAGTTCTGTCCATACAGACAGTGCCTAATGGTGCAAGCTTAGCACTGCACTGCAACTAAGAATGTCAGCCATGTTCATGGATCATTGCACTGTGACCATATGAAGGCACTACCTTCCCTCACAGTCAGGGCTCCAGACACGGGCTGATGACTGATGTTTTCAACAGTTCACGAATCATCTTTGAAGTCTTACATTAAAAACTGCAATCTACATGAATGTTAATTTTTGATGGATATGGTAAAAAATGAACTTACCACAATAGCAAATAGAAAAACAGAAAATACTTTAACAAATTCTTTTTGGACTAATGAGGGAATGGAAGCAGCAGGGGAAATCCTTTTCTGGTGTTTACAGAAGCACCAAATGCATAAATTCCTCCCTATATACCTATAAGGAGTAAGGCTCAAGACTATGTGTATCCTTGGTCAGAGGAAACCACCCCTACATTCTTTATTTCTATGGATACCCCCCAATATTCCCAATGGGAATTCTTTTCTTACAACATTCATCAAGTTCTCATGATAAAAGCCAAGAATAATGTCTGTAAGACCTGTGAGAGGTAGGAGAAATGTGACCCTTTGAAGTCAGTTGTAAAACACATAACTCTTACCAGAGCTTGGGCAAAGTGTTTATTCAACTTCTCCCTCCTTCATAGTTCCTGTTTTTCTTCTAGAGTGGGGAAAGCTAAGAAACACCTTTGTGAGTCTTGCCCTGAGATCCAGGGCCAACACCAACATTTATATTTTGGTTACTTAATTTTGTGTGTGAGTGTGCATGTACACACGGATCAGTGATCACCTCTGTGTTTTTAAGGTGTCTAGTAAGTGTTAGTTCTCATGATCTGTCTACCTTGTTTTATATCAAGGGGTGTCCAATTGGCCTGAAATTCCTCAGTTCAGTCCTGATAGTCGAGATCCATCAGTCTTTGCTTTCCCAGTTCTGAGATTACAAACATATGGTACGATTCTCACAATTTTTAAAAAATAAGGATACTAGACATAGAGCAAAAGATACTCAATCTATATTCCACAACCCCAGAGATGCTAGACCCCTCTTCCAGAAACAAATGGAAGCAGATGCAGAAATCCACAACTACCCAATGGGCCAAGCTCTGGAGTACAATCAAAGTGAGGGAGGAGCAATAATATGAACAGGGGAGTCAAGACCATGATGGGGGAAACACACAGAATCAGTTAACCTGAACTACTGCATGATCACTGACTCGTGACTGACAAATGGGGGACCTACATAAGACTGGAGTAGATTCCCTTAATATAGGTAACATTGGTGTGACTGGGACAATATATGATGCCACTGGCAGTGGGTCCAAGATATACACTAAATGATTTAGTAGAGCCCATTCTATATGGAGATCTACCTTGCCCAGTCTAGACACAGGGGTGTGGGGGTTGGAGAGGTGTCTTGGTCCTGCCTTAACTAGATTATGGGACAGACTTAGTAGACTTTCTAGGAGAGACCTTACACTCTTTGAGCCGCAAATGGGAGTAGGGGGGTTTGGTGGGCAGAGGGAGAGGAGTGAGGGGGAACTGGGATTGGAATATAAAATATAAATTAAGAAAAAAGAGAAAAAAGTCACTTCAGGAGGGGTTCGGTACATAACTACAGCAAGTAACTGGTAGAGCAATGATTTAAGTAGTCTATTAAAAAGAAGAACATCTAGGGAATCTCAACAGGTATGGGAATCAGAGACAGAACAAAGATCTCTGGAGAGAATCGTGTGCAGAGCTCTGTATTGTGGGACAGTTGTGCCAGTACACAATAAAGAAGAGACACATTCAGACAAGTTCCAGTCGAGGGTGACTAGCACTGGTTACCTGAAAGCCATTGCCTAAGAACAATGTGGAAGTAGAGAGTCCTAACCTTTGCTTTGTTTATGACACACATGGCTTAAGAAGCACAGGGAAAAGTTTGCTAGAACAGTCATTCTGACTCACTCAACTCAAGCACTTTAACTTGAAAAGACTTTTTATTTTTATTAATATTTTTATAATCTATTGATGGATCTCATTTACATAGACCTTTCCTAGCCTATGTATGGACCTTAACACTGAAGAGAACAGAATTTTTCTGGTTTTTCTCTTGTGAACTCTTTTCAACGTCCTGTTTTTATTTCCTTTTTTCTTTCCTCTTGATTTCTTTTCTCTTTCCTTCTAATTTCAGTTATTACCTTACTCATTCTTCTCCTCTCAACTTTTATCCTGATATCAATTTTCTCTTTAAATATTTGATATTTTGTTGGAAATGAGGGAGTAAGAAGTTTTGGACAAACTCTCTACCCATACCTTTATGGTAAGTCCATTGAAGTAATATTTTTAACCCATATTATATAAATGTTTGATTGTTCAAAGTAGATTGCATTTTGATTAAAGTTATGCCTCAAAGATGGTATTTACAGTGGTCTACTTAAATAGCATCAGACTCTATGTGTCCCAACATGAAGGTATGTATGGACAGTCAGTGTGAAGGGAGGGCAATGCTTTTGTCTGTTCACAACATCATCTTCTATAAACCCTGTCCACACTTTCATCACAGTATACCAATAGTCACGCAGTTAGATCATGGTTTGGTACAATGGTTGGAACTGGGATGCAGTGATTTCCAGAAGTTCCTTCTATAATTACTCTGCACAGCCTCATACAGTCTTACTGCAAAAACAGACCACAAAAGCCCAGAGTGTTGATGACATTTTATTTTTGTTCTCTGAGCCTTTAGGTTACAGCCACCACAGAATATACTGATAGAAAAACAGCAGAGATGATATAAGGGAATTGGTGTGGGTGTGTAGGCAGAGCTTGCTCTTCCTGAGTGAATCCTCATACTTGCTTCCTTGTCCATGTGAGCTTCATAATATTTTCAAGCTGTTGAAATTAGAACTGCCCTAGACCTTGAATTTGCAGATATAGGGAAGCTCATTTTCACAATTAAAATCTCTCCACTTCTGAAAACCTACAGAGAGATAGGAGGTAAAGGGAATGCGGCAGGTGAATCTGTGAACTCAAACAAAGAATGACTCAGTGTCTGCTCTTGACTTAAGACATCTCTTCTGCATGATAATCACTGTTGCAAGGAGACATATAGGCAACCATGAGAGAAGATGACAAACCACACGTCCACACTGTATGTCTCAAACCTGTGTCATGCCCAGGTTGTCATACTGGATGTGGGAAGATGGGTTAATCACAGGTGGTTCTTCTCTGTCTTACCTGATTTCTGAGACAAAACTGCACAATAACCACGGTCAGCAGCAATAGAGGGGTTCCTCTCCCAGTTATAGAAGGTCAGCACATTGGAACTGCTCCACTTCCATCCACTTCCGTTGGGTAGTGTACCCTGTAGAGTGCAAAGGATTGGGTGGTACAGATTACATGATACCTTCACTGAAACATTTGGTCCCATGCCTAGCTTTACCAAACTTGGTATGGTCATACCCAGTTGCCAAGAGCCTTCTGGTGTAATATTATCCCAGAATACCTCAGTCCTATTTACAAACCCCCAGAAACTATGGAATGAAATTGGGATTTACTGGATTTTATCAGTTCCTGATAAATACAAATGGTGGTACTTTTGAGGTTTCTCCAGAAACCACTGAACAAAAATCTATTCTATAAAGGAAAAACACAAAAGATTTCTTTGTTCAGCATTTACTGACACTTGTATTTGCAGACTCCCTAAGACTGATGATAATATCTTCCAATATCTCACATGAAAACTTAGAAGTCAGCCATAGGCATACAGACTTCAACTGAACTCTGAGATTTCCACAGAACTTATCTCTACAGCTGATATTTCCCTCTCTCTAATGCCATCCAGCATTGGAGATCTATGACCCATTTGCTTTTTCTGGGGTGTCACAGGGAATCTTCCACAGGGATAAAAGGCACTATGAGGAAAAAGCAAGACAAAGATAGGATCGCACATGTGAGGGATCATGGAGTCCAATCCAGATGTACTGGTAGGCCGTCAAACTGTTCTTCACAAGGGAGGACACGAAGGTAATTTCACCAGTACTGAGAAGAAATGCCAGGTGTCCTGAGAAATGCATCTGGCAGGATAGCTGTTTGAAGGACAGAATGGAAACAATATTAAACCCCCACTGGGAAGTGGTAGAGTGTAGGTGAGGGATTGGGTTCACCTCAGTCAAATAAACCACAGAGATTGGAATCCAACACCACTCTTGACCCGGAAGTTCTTGTTTCTATTGTTCCCAATCCTGTGTGTCACTACTCACTTCTGCATTAGACCAGGTCTGTGGTATCAAAATCAGTGAATAGCAATAGGACCCATAGGCTACAGAGCCTTGAGGACAGGTTATACGTGAAGAAGGCAGTTTCTTTTGAGATTCTTCACCTGGTTTAGAGGGAGAAATAGACAGTGATGCAGTGGATAAGAGACTGGAGATTGGATAATGGAGGTCAACATAGAAAAAGTTTATGAAGCTTCATTTGAAATTGGGACTGTAATTCTGAGTTCCCACTCTTACTATTTCCCTAGTTCTCAGTTGTGTGCATGTGAGTGTGTGTGTGTGTGTGTGTATGTGTGTGTGTATGTGTGTGTGTTCGAGGAGTGTGTACACAGTATTATACATGAGCATATAGATATGAATGCCAGAGGTCAGTCTCAAGTGTCATTGCTTAGTCCCTATTCACACTGTAATGTTTTGATAGGGTTTCTAGCTGACTTTGAAGGGTAATATATTTTGCTAGAGTGGTCATCCAGTGATTACTAAAGGATATTTCTGTATCCTTTTCCCCAGTGTTTGCATTAAAAGCATGGACACCATGTCACGTTTAATTTAAATGCCACCTGGTTGCTCAACTTGAGTCCTCATGCTTACTTTAAAAAGCACTTTACTGGCTGAGCTATCACGTCCTCAACTTCAGGTTCTTAATTTAAAGAGACTTCTTCATATAGAAAAGCATGAGTTTTTATTTTACACTTCTTGCATTTAATAGTCTTTTGTTTTCTCCCTTTGCTTGGAGGACAGCCTATGTGGTTCATCCTCTGTCCTCTGTCTCCTTGCTTAGAGTTCATTCCTGAGATTTACACTTTCCTTTTTAAACCTACCAACATAAATTAGAGTCCACTGACAATGTGGAAAAACTTTCTTTCCATTACAATTATGCATATCCATCCTCCTCCAGTGATCTAGAGGGAGGCAGGATGAAGAAGATTTCCCATGAGAATGCTCCTTTTATTTAACATATGGAATCTCCAGAGCCTTTCTCTTCCCCTTTCCTCTGAACACTCATGGGGGACCCAGTGCTAGATGCACAGCAAGTTTACCTTCCACCCAAGAAAGGAACATCAGGCAGGAAAGCAGCATCCAAGACATCCTACAGAGGGTCATGGGAAGCATCATGGTACCTGTGAGGGAGAAGGTAGTATGGATAGAGAGGACATGAAAGCAGAACACAGCTACTTTCTTTCATGCTTGTATATCTTCAGGGAAGCACTCATTTGGGTTTGACCCCTCTCTTTCTATTCCAAAGCAAAATGAAGAGCCCATGTTCAGCTTTCAGCTCCAAACTCTACTGAGTTTCAGAGTGCTGCCTTGTGAGGGCAGAGAACTTTCTTCCCCTTCTCCTTCGATGTGAGAGGTGAACCCATATCTGCCTCTCATTATCATTGAACTCCAGCTTACCTGTCTTGCAGAGATCTGGGGTGTTTTGCCAGGAAAGAGACGACTGTGCTTTTATAATAGGATCTGAGGGAGGGGCATCAAAGGAAATGAGTGAGTGCTTATGCCAGTCAAGGTGATGGGTAGTGCTTGGCATGGATTCAGGGAGGTTTCCAGTAAGAATGCAGGACTTTTCACGTCAAAACTGGGAACTACCACACATGTGTCTCCTTTCCTGTTAGGCCTGCTCTGTCCTCAGATGCAGGTGTAGACTAAAATCCTGTTGCCCTCTGCCACGTGTCAAGTTCTACAAAACTTAGGAACATTCAGGCAGCCTCCTGCTGAAGATAATGCAGGTTTATTTTTTTAAAAATCACAATTTATAAAAATTACAATCTTTGTTTTTAAGGCTATATATGTATATACATATATTTACATAAATCAGGAATGCATTTTCAGTTGTACTGAAGAACTGACTTCTGTAGGAATAGCTGCAATTTATGCCCATTTAAAAAATTTAAGATACACAAAAAGGGCAAGATTTGGTGTGTTAAAACTTGATTTGTTGAGCGATGCATAACAAGTATTTAATACAAAGTAGAATTACCGGTTCAAAAAAGCTGCTTCAACTTTTGAGCATAAAATTTAAAGCAACCACTGAGTCAACACTGTAGCCAGGATTTTAAGGAAAAACAGATGAATAGATTTTATTCTTAGCTACTTTCATGTGTGAATACTGAGAGAGACTTTGCTAGCGTGTTTTCCACACAGATTATACCTCAGAATAGTATACTGACTTTGATCACACACTCATAGGAATTTTAAGACTCTTCAAAAAAGATTTGAGCTTTTTTTCCTTTTAAAATTTTATTTTTTGAACTATGTGCATGCATGTGTCCATGAACATGTGTATGTGAGTGTGTGTGTCTTTGGGTGAGAATAGCAGGTGATAGAGGTACCCAAGGGGACTAGAGGGCATCGTATCATCTGGTTACAGATAGAAATGAACCACCTGACATGGGTGATGAAAACCAAACCTTAGTCTTCTGGAAGAATAGTATGTGCTATTAACTGCTGAGCCCCCTTCCAGCCTCCTATTTTCTATAGTATATATGCTAAAATGTTATTAACTGTTTCCACTGTGCTGACATATATATATATATATATATATATATATATATATATATATATATATGGCCATAGACATTATATCTTCTAAATGCACTTGAACTCAATGGCTCTATGGAATAGTTAACTGAGGTAAAGATTTGCCTTTAAGCATGTGTTTTCATAGTCTGTATGACTGTGTGGGAAGTTTATGCTGAAACACAGTGGTTAGCATTGTTTAAGACTAGCTGCTGTGCAGTTGCATTATAAATCACAACTTTCTTGCAGTTTTTTAAATGAACAGGCAAAAATGTAAGTGATTCATATAAGGGAAATTTGTTCAGATGTTCCAAAGAAAAAATCCTGTGAATTAGCAAATATTTTAAAAGTTGCCATTTTACAGTCTATTATTATATAAAGAACAGTAATTTCTTTAATTCCAGACATTCTGCACATACAAATTTCGTCAGTGGTAGCTAAAGTATTTCTAAATTTTCATCTGTACTGAACATGTATAGGATCTTTCTTATCATTATTTTTAATTTTTATAGCATTATTACTCTCTATGTTTAACAATATTACAAGCAATCTAGAGATGGTTTAAAATATGTAAAACAGATTCATACAATAATGACATATGTTCAGCTATGTTCATAGCAGGGTTATTTGCAATAGCCAGAACCTGGAAGAAACCTAGATCCCCCTCAACTGAAGAATGTATGGAGAAAATGTGGTACATTACACAATGGAGTATTACTCAGAGGAATAAAACAATGGAATCTTAAAATTCGCAGGCAAATGAATGGAACTAGAAGAAACCATCCTGAGTGAGGTAACCCCATCACAGAAAGACAAACATGGTATGTACTCATTCATATATGGATTTTAGACATAGAGCAAAGGACTACCATCCTACAATCCATGTACCAAGTAGTCTTCCTGCCTGCCTGGTCCCAGAACTGTGTCAGCCCCAAATGAACATACAGGATACTATATTAATTATGAAGCTGTTTGCTGTTTGCTAGTGTTTCTTAATGGCTAGCTCTGACTTAATTATTAACCCATAATTACTAATATATATTTTTATAAGGACTTATCTTTCTGAGGACCCCATTCTCATGTGTCAATTCCTCCTAGGATCACATGGCAACCCTCTACTCTTTACTACATTTCCAAGACTTTTCTTCAACTCCTAGTCCCACCTATCTTGTTTCCCTATTGGACAACAGTGCTTTATTTATCAACCAATAAGACAACATATGCACAGAAGGGCTTCCACCATAAAATCCACACCCCCAGAGAAAATAGGAAATAAGGAGAATCGTAATAGAAATGCATGGTCCTCTGAGGAAGGGGAAAGGGAGAAGAACTCCTGAGCAAATTGGGAGCATGGGGGGTGGGAGGGTGGAGGGAAGGAGGAAAAAGAGAAGGGAAGATGATGTGGAGAACAAGAGGGATCAGAAAAACTGAATCAGTGGAGGAACAGAGGAGAGCAAAAAATGAGATACCTTAATGGAGGGAGCCAGGATAGGTTTAAAGAGACATCTGGCATTAGGGAAATGTTCAGATAGGCAGTAGTGGAGAGACTGCCTTTGAAGCCCTTCCACTATAATGAGATTGATGATTACCTTAATTGTCATCTTAGAGCCTTCATCCAGTAGCTGATGGAAGCAGAAGCAGGTACCTACAGCTAAACACTGAGCCATACTCATGGAATCCAATTGTAGAGAGGGAAGAGGGATTAGAAAAGGAGTCAAGACTGTGCTGGAGAACCCTCAACAACAGTTGACCTGACATAGTGAAAGCAGAGAGACCCTAGTTATAAAGCTGAGGAACCAACATTGAACTGAACCAAACCCTCTGAATATGGATGGGTGCCAGCTAAAAGACCAGGGCAGTCTATGGGATCTCTAACAGTAGAACCTGTATTTTTCCCTAGTGCATATATGGAATTTGGGAGCCCATTTCCTATGGAGGTATGCTATTTAAGCCCAGATACACAGAGGAGGGCATAGGCCCTCCCCCAAATGACATGACAGACTTTGATGGTCCTCCATAGAAGGCCTCACTACCCTTAGGGAGCAGGTGGGGAGTTGGTGGGGGCATCGGAGAATGGAAGGGAGAGAGAACGGTGGATTGATATGTAAAATGATTGTTTCTAAATTTAAAAAAATGTGAACAATAAAACATGCAGGAGAATGCACAAAATTATTTGCATAACTTATGCAATTATGTAAATGACTTAAACGTCTTTGGATGTTGGTAACTAGAGTGGCTCTGAACTAGAGTGGTCCCAAGGATCCTGAAGGACAATTCTATCATATGCTAGGCCTTTCTGATTGTCTGTCTGTCTGTCTGTCTGTCTACATCACATGCAGCAAATGTTTTTGGCATCTCTTACTTGCTTTGAGATACTGACAAGAGCCTTGCAAATGCCAGAAAACACTGGATGCCTAGTTTATATTCCTAGCCTAAAGCTTTTGAAGTTTTCCCTGTCTGTGGTGTAGGGGCTTACACCCAGGAGCCTGGTCATACCAGACTAGCTTAGTATCACTGAGTAAACATGCAAAAATTTCTTCAATGAACTTTAAGATGACAGAAGTCTTGAGGGCAGACAGTTTAAGAACCCTGGTTAAAACACTGCAACTGTTTCACAAATACATGAAATAAATAGACTGATATCGAGGATTTATATAGTAGGCTTAAAGAAGGTGGGTTGAAAATGACTAAAATGATCTGAGGGCAAATGAATCACTTCATACTGGTATCCTTAGAAGTTCTTAAAATATTCTTCTCCTTAAAATTTCTCCTAGTTTTTTTCTAAAATTTCTCTAAAAATTATTTTTCATCTCCCAAAGCTTTCAGTTTATGTACCCACAGACACATTTAACAACTCTGACAATAGGGCATGCATTTATCTCAGAGCCAGAAAGGCAGATAAAATCTTGACAAAAGCTAACATCTCATATCTCAGAGGGGAGACATAGCTTATAAAACATCTGGGCAAACTCAAGTCTCAGCAAGAATGTGACTGGCAAAGTGTATTAATAACTTATTAAAAGCAATTTCTCAGTGCCATATGAAAGTGAAAAACTAAAGCGATTTAGTGTGAGAACCACAGGTTGCATCTCTTATTGCTGACATCCTAATGAGAAGGAATCTCATTTCTCTGGGTCCTTTATGAGAATATAAAGCACCCAGTGTATTTCATCCACCAGAAGTTAATTCTGGCGGGTTTATACCTAGAATATTAATTGCTACTTCTGTAATAAATGATAAGGGTTCCCAGAAGATTGTTACAATTTCTGCATATAATTATCAAAGTCCAAAAAGTAAGAAACACTGTTAGAGAAGAGACTTCTGTTTCCTATTAACCAAAAATAATAATGAAAAGAATAACTATTAGTAAGTCATAACTATTTTTATTTTAATTCATTTTTTTTGGATTTTGGTTTTTCGAGACAGTTTCTCTGTGGCTTTCGAGGCTGTCCTGGAACTAGCTCTTGTAGTCCAGCCTGGTCTCAAACTCACAGAGATCCGCGTGCCTCTGACTCCCGAGTGCTGGGACTAAAGGCATGTGCCACCACCGCCTGGCAACCATACCATTCATATATAACAAAAACCAACACATGGAGGGGCATGGGTGTCAACATAGCCCTTGGAAGGTTGAGGTAGGAAGAACTCCAGGACAGTTGGGATACATAGTGTCACTCTGAAAAGCAAGTAAGAATGTTATGCATTGATCTTAGCTCAGTCCAAATTTAATTCAGGGGAAACTACTCTGATATAGTTCATTCTAAGTTCTGCCATCTGTGTGATAGCATCATATTTAATTCCACCTTTAAGTAGACATTAGTTACCAACTTATGTTTACTAATATCCTTTCAATAAATATTATCTTTCAGTTTGATTGAAATATAAAAAAACAGTATTTTGTTCCTTTCCATGCCTTTCAGCACTTTTCTTTAAATGGATGGGTGTGGGTTATTGAACTCCTATCATTTTTGTATCCAAAAGATTCTTTACTATTTTGCTGGGATTGAGTTTTCTCAGATGTTATCGGAGACAGTCTACACTGCTCCTTCACATTGAATAAAATGTTGCACACTACAAACTTCTAGTTTAATCTATTATTTTTCTGGTGAAACATTCAATTGTTTATTCTATTTGGTGAAAAGTTTGTTACTACAGCAATGTTTGACAGAGTCCCTCCAAAGGCAATCTAGTCAAAAGTAGTCAACAAAAACAAAAATAATAATCTGCAAGAAACAAGGGCTTGGTCATGTACGAAGGTGACTTCTCAGCAGAAATTCTGGGATTCAGAAGAGAATGGAATGATGTATTTCAAGCCTTGAAAGAAAATAACTATCACTCAAGATAAATATATATGAGGGTTATGCCTCGTGTTTAAAAGAAAAATATAGCAAAATAAGTAAAGAAATTTTAACTACTAAACCATCACTGAAGAAGGTAGGCATGATAAGAAGACTCTCAGAAGAGGAAGAAAAACAAGCACGATTGAGACAGCATGGAAAATATATTAGTAGAGGAGCAAGCAAACTAATGAGATATAGGAAGACACCAGCCAATTTCAATACAGTGAACGACCAAGAAGTGGTTAAGAGCAGAAGCAATGGGCACAGAATACTGAAAACAACAAGACGAAACATCAACAGGGTAACAGGAACAACCATACGCTTTCAGTAATATCTTTGAATGTAAATGATAAACAGTAAAAGAGAATGTAAGTGAAACTTTTTTCAGTTTTTTTGAAACAGGGTTCCTCTGTGAAGCATTGGGGCCTGTCCTGGAACTCGATCTGTATACCAGTCTTGCCTTGAGCTCACAGGGATCCCCCTGCTTCTGCCTCATGAGTGTTGGGATTAAAGGTGTGTGCCACCACTGTCTGGCTGTAAGTGAAATATTTTTGAAGACTAACTGTATTTAAAAGCAAGACTCAGTAACGTGCTACCTGAAAAATGCTCACCACACAGACTGAGAAACACAGACTGGGAGGGAAGGAATGGGAAAGATATTCTAAGAAAAAAGGAAGCAGAAGTGAGTAGAAATAGCTATAATCATATTGGAAAATGAAGACTTTAAGCTGAAATAGTATAACAGAAAAATGCCATTTTTATAATGTGAATGATTTCTTCTGGTTTGTATACTGTTCATATGTAAGTATATATGTCTGTATGTAGTATGTATGAATGTATATGTGCATGAATTTCTATGCAGCATAAGATTATGAGAATACAAGTTAATCTCACTTAAGTTCCTGAGGAGAGGAAATTTGGTAGATGTAACAAGGCAGAATTTCAAACATGACCAGCACATGAAGACAGAGCAGGTTTTTAATGGTAAATGGCCCTTTGTGTGCGAGTTTCTGGTGTTTGTCAGTAAGAGTCCTGTGTTTTTGCTGGGAACCTGTGAATGCAAGGCCAAGCACTAGCCACCATACTGACCAGAACAAGCAAACAAAAAACAATACAGCAAGAAGAAAACTTAATGAGGCTATCACTGTCGTGACTGCACCCACCACATAAAGAAAACGGGCTTCATAAACCTCCTCTTAAGTTGACTTCCCCATCCAACTCCCATTCTCCATCTCATTCCATCCTTTTCTTACCACCATCCAGCCCCAAGTGAAGACCCCCAGAAGGAAGTATACTCTCCATGGATCAGGGGCCCCATGGCTCAAAGGCCTATGACTCCCACTGCTATGACCTAGTTATGACACCCAAATCCTGGTATGAAGCAGGTATTAAAGGATGGAGGTGAAGATAACAGCATAAAGTACAAACTGGTGACAAATGAGGTCTCAGGATCCCATGATTCTATGGGGATCAAAATGATTGTTCTTTCTTTTATGCAATCTTTCTACTCACATACCTCTATCTCACCACTGACCAGTGAAGTCTCAGTCTCTCTTATTCTGTCCCTCATATAGCTGGCCTGCCAGAAGAGACCTTCTGGACACCTTGTGTGTATTCTTACTGGAGCTGAGGCTTCCTTTTTGCCCTCCCTGTAAGTGGGAGAGTGAATAACTACCAAGATATACGGATTGGGCTCCATGATCTCACAATGGTTAGATTCTATCTTTCCCCATTTCGTCTCCAGGAGCTGTTATCTCCCAAGCACAGGTATATTTTACCTTTTATAATTTAAATTACAAACAATCTTATTTTGTGTATCAATCCTAGTTTCCTCTCCCTTCCATTCTCCCATGCCCCCCGACCAATCCCCATATCATCCTTCTTCTGCTCCATAGAAAGAGTGAGGCCTTCTATGGGGGAATCATCAGAGTCTGTCACACCATTTGGGACAGGGCCTAGGCACTCCCCTATGTGTCTAGGCAGAGAAAGTATCCCTCTATGGGGAATGGGCTCCCAATGCCCATTTGTACACTAGGTATAAATGCTGTTCCATTACCATGGGCCCCATAAACTGTTCAGGTCTCCTAACTGACACACACATGCAAGAGGCCTGGTTCCATCCTCTGCTGGTTTATGAGCTATCTGTCTGGGGTCCATGAGCTACCCCTTGCTCAACTGAGCTGTTGTTGTGGGTTTCCCCAGAATGATCTTGACCCCTTTGCTTATCAATTCTCCCTCTCTACAACTGGATTCTAGGAATTCAACTCAGGGTTTAGAGGTGAGTGTTTGCTTCTGTTTTCATCAGCTACTGGATGAAGGTTCTATGATGGTATATAAGGTAGTCATCAATCTCATTATAGGGGAAAGGCATTTAAGATAGCCTCTCCCCTATTGCTTAGATTCTTAGTTGGGGTCACCCTAGTGCCAAATTTCTCTTTAAACCTATAATGACTCCAATTATTAAGGTGTCTCTTTCTTGTGCTCCTCTATACTTACCCCCAACTCAATCTTTCTGGTCGCTCATGTTTTACTTCCCCCTCCTCTTCTCCCCTACTCTTTCTCCTAACTCCCTCTCTCTTTCCTGAGTTCTTCCAGTTTGCTCAGGAGATCTTGTCCCTTTCTCCTTTTCTGGAGGACCATGTATGTCTCCCTTAGGGTCCTCCTTCTTCTCCTTTCCTAACTTCTCTAGAGGTGTGGATATTAGACTGGTAATACTTTGCTCTATGCCTAATATCCATATATGAGTGAGTACTTACCATGTTTGTCTTTTTGTGACTGGGTTACCTCACTGATGATAATTTCTTTTACTTCCATCCATTTGCCTGCAAATTTCAAGATTCCATAGGTTTTTTCTGCTGAATAATAATAATGTAAATATACCACATTTTCTCTATCCATTCTTCAGTTGAGGGGCATATAGGTTGCTTTCAGGTTCTGGCTATTATAAATCATGCTGCTGTGAACATTGTTGAACATATGTCCTCGTTGTCTGAATGTGCATTTTTTGAGTATATGACTAAGATTGGAATTGGTGGTAAACTGACTCTTATTTTCTGTCATACTGATTTCCAAAGTGGCTGTACAAGTTGGCACTCCCATCAGAGTGTTCCTCTTTTTCCACATCCTCTCCAGCATAAACTGTCATTTGTGGTTTTAATTTTAGCCATTCTGACAGGTATAAAATGGTATCTAAGAGTTATTTTGTTTTGTGCTTCCCTGATGGCTAAGGATGTTGAGCACTTTCTTATGTGTCTATCAGCCATTTTAGATCCCTCTATTGAGAACTCTATTTAGTCCTGTACCCCACTTTTTAATTGGATTATTTGGTATTTTGGTGATTAGATTCTTGAGTTCTTTGTATATTTTGGAAATCAGCCCTCTGTCGGATGTGGGGATGGTGAATATCTTTTCCCATTCTGTGTGCTGCCTTTTTGTCTTGTTGATTGTGTCCTTTGCCTTATAGAAGCTTCTCAGTTTCAGAAGGTCCCATTTATTAATTGTTGATCTCACTGTCTTTGCTACTGGTGTTATATTCAGGAAGAAGTCTCCTGTACCAATTCGTTCAAGTGTACCTCCCACTTTCTCTTCTAAGAGTTTCAGTGTGGCTGGATTTATGTTGAGGTCTTTGATCCATTTGGACCTAAGTTGGATCTATCTGCAGTTTTCTACACGCCAGCATCTAGTTATGCCAGCACCATTTGTTGAAGTCGCTTTCTTTTATACATTGTATAATTTTAGCTTCTTTGTCAAAAATCTGGTATTTGTAGGTGTGTGGGTTAATATCAAGGTTTTCAACTTCATTTAATTTCTTGCCATTTTTTGTGCCAATACCAAGCTGTTTTCAGGATGATAGCTCTATAACAGAACTTGAATTCAGGGATGGTGATGCCTCCAATAGTTCCTTTATTGTACAGGGTTGCTTTGGCTTAGTCTTTTGATTTTCCACAAGGTGGGTGAAAAATTGTGCTGGGAGGTATTTTGATGAAGATTGTATTGACTCTGTAGATCCAAGCACAGTTCTTTGTCTCCAGTCCATGCATAACATGAGGAGGACCTAGCACTCTGATATAGGGTGAAGTTAGGGTAAGGAATACCCTCAATGCCAAAGTGAAGTGCTGAGTTCTATGGATATTCCTAGTTTTCAGCTCAATCCCTTTACTGTTGCCCATTTCTGCTTTCTTCTTAAGAAAGCCAAGTGTTGGGTTCTTTTGTCATCAAGGAATCCACAAAGAGTTCTGAGACCATTGTAAATTAAGACAAGATTTATATTTATTTTTTAAAGATTATGTTTGTTTATTTTATTTGTATGTATTCCCTGAATGTGTGTGTGTGTGTGTGTGTGTGTGTGTGTGTGTGTGTGTGTGTGTGTGTGTGTGTGCACAATCTGAATCCCTGGTGCTTAAAGAGGTCAGAAAATGGCTTCATATCCCTTAGAATTGGAGTTATACTTGGTTGTGAGTCACCACGTGAGTGCTGAAAGCCACTCTTGTGTCCTCTGCAGGAGTAGTCAGAGTTTTTAACTGCAGAATCATCTCTTCACCTCCTCCTTTTGTTGTTTATAGAGAGGATAGTGTGATATTCAGAGGCTATTCTGAAATGTATCATTACTCATTGTATAGCAAGTACTTTGTTACTCTAGTTCTATAGCTCTTGTGATTGCTGGCAAAAAGAGGTTAAATTAGAATTTCTAAGTGAAAAAAGGTACCTGGACAGCAAGGTGTAATTGACCAAATGCTATTGAAAGACCCCGGCCTAGCCTACACAGGCAAGCTGAGGCTCATGGAAAATTCCTTTCCCCCACAGCTCAGCCGAATAGTCATTTTTTTATCAGAAGGGAGCTCTGCCCAAGGACATGGGCTTTGGGTGTCTTCTGTGACCAGATGGCCAGCCCAGCAAGATTGGGCAAGCACAGAGACCTATTGTTCCTCATATAGGGCCAAGGCCGAGACTTGAGTTCTGAGAGAAACCTTAATTGCCCTCGTTCTGAGCCCCAGCCTCATTTACATTGCCCAATCAGGGTCCTGTAACTAGGCTTCTCGCTTCTGTACTGCGCTTTTTGCTATAAAAGAACCCCTGAGTCCCCAGCTCGGGGCTCTCAGTTCCCGAGACTGAGATGCCCCGGGTACCCGTGTATTATCAATAAAGCCTCTTGCTGTTGCATCCAAGTTTGTGGTCTCGCTGTTCCTTGGGTTCGGGTCTCCCTCCCGTGAAAGTCCCCCGCCTGGGGTCTTTCACTATGATGTGCTGATGTATTTTCTCTTCATACAAATACTGTGTAGGGTCAAGAACCCAATGCACTTGGATGAAGTGTAGTAACTCTGATGTGCTGAGTTACTTTCATTGGGATGGAAATCCTTCTGTTGTAAATTGTGGTCACTGTGGAATTCTGACAGCAACCTCAGGTAAAACATGGAAGCACTACTTTGGCCAGTCATTTTCACACCTTTCCTCTGCCGCTGAGTCTGACTTTGTGGCTATCCTCCTAAACTAGGGAATTCAATACAGATTTTTCTTCTAACTTTCATGACTCTTGCCACCGCACTGGGGAGGGAGTGAAGCTGAAATAAAGGCTTCTGAGAATAATACTGGGTCTAAGTTCCCCAATATGACATCCACAAGATCCAGAGTGTTTCCTCTCTCTAGGATTTCTGAAGTGATCATCTCTGTGAAGAGAATTACCTTTTGTCTGCAAGTTGAGGGAGAAAGAAGGCATTTGAACTCTGTCCTTCATGGCTGTGCACCAGACATTTTACTGACAGCCATATCCCCAGCCTCTGTTTAATTTTTGACAGAATATTTTATTGTAGTTTATGATGACATCCCACTGTGTAGCCAAGGATGGCCTCAGACTCATAGAAATCATTCTGCCTCATCTTCCCAAATGATGAGAGTGTAGGTACCTTTGTTCATCTCCTGCCTGTACCTTGTTTTTTGGATGGCAGTAATAAAATGAAGATTACCAGATGAAAAGAGCTTAAATCATTACACATACCCTTTAGACATGCTTGATTCCAGTATCACACCTTACTATGCATCTCCCTTTGTTTGCCTGTGTACAGTAAAAATGCCTGACTGTATCCATAATTTCATTGCTCCCTTTACCACATCCTTAAATAGATGCCTGACATTATCACTCATCTTTGAGATGATATCTCCCAGAGGTTGTGATGGAAATCACCACAAGCTAGGTATCTGGAAAGTTTAGATTTTTATACTTTAACTAAATTTTTATATATAGCATACTCATCCACACTAACAAGGTTGATTCAGCAACACACACGGGGAGGGTGGCACCACACAAAATTTAAACACAGCTAAATACATAAAATGAATTAGCCAAATAAGCAACAGACATGTTCACAGAATATATTCCAACTCAGTAGTCCCCAGAACATCAAAGGACCCACTTCTATGTTGTGACTTTGCTACTGTCACATGGCAGCTATAAAATACACTCTTCTTTGACAAGTGTGGTGGCACATACCTTTAATGTCCTTGTAATCCCGCTACTCAGGGTGATGGGGCAAGGAGCAGTGAGTTCATCACCATCTTGGGGCTGCCTTAACTTCCTCTTTGTTTTCTTTGTCAATTATTTTACATTTATGTTGTCAACAGTCCATTACAATTTCTTTTTGCTTAGATAT